ATCCTGCCTGCACGGCAGAGCCTGGCAAGCTCCCCGTGGTGTATTCAATATGCCAAAACCCAGTAACAATGATGGGTCTCATTCCCCTGACCCTGAAGGAGCCTCCAAGGTGGCACTTGCTAAAATCTCAGGGCTAGGATGTATGGAGACGTTACTGGTGCCTGCTCGAGGAAATTGATGAACAACGGGATGACAGTGATACAGTGATACAGTGAATTCTGTGTAAAAATTTAGCACTTTCTTCCTCTACTCGCCTGTTTGAAAGCTGGATAGTGGCTACTGTGGAGGAAACCAGAGATAGACTGGAAGAGGTACAGGGGACTTTCAGGGGTGCCTTCCGTGTGATTTGTTTTTCATTTTTGGCCCTCTCCTGACTACTCAGGGATCAGTCCTAGTGGTGCTCAGGGGACCAGATGGGATGCCCAGGGATTGAACCTAGGTCGGCTGCATGCAAGGCAGTACCTGCTGTAAGTCTCTCCAGCCCCTCATATTCAATTTAACGTACATTTACTTTACTCTGCATGGTAGCTTGTCATTTTTCCTCTTCTGTTTTCTGGCTTCCTCGGTGTGTTACTGAAGGGAATTGGACTTTTCTCTTCTCTGGTGCTGATTTAGCCTTTTGTTGGTTGGTGGTGTTTGTTTCTTTTTTTTTTTTTTTTTGCTTTTTTTTTTTTGGGTCACACCCGGCGATGCTCAGGGGTTACTCCTGGCTCATGCACTCAGGAATTGCCCCTGGCGGTGCTCAGGGGACCATATGGGGTGCTGGGAATTGAACCTGTGTCGGTCATGTTGGCTGCGTGCAAGGCAAACGCCCTACCCGCTGTGCTATTGCTCCAGCCCCGGTGGTGTTTGTTTCTAACTAAACCTGGTGGTAAACGTTCACAGGTAGCAGACCACTAAGTGCAGGCTCTTTCATTCGGCGTGTTTGTTAGTTAATTTTGGAAGGAGGCTTTTCCTTTTCACGTATCTTCATATGGAATATTGATGCCGGTGTTTTCTAAGGTCTCCTCTCTTCTTCCAAAACTTCTTGTTGGAGGTGTTGCGTCTTTTGTGAGGAGCTAGCCCTGTTCCCTGATTCTGTGGCTTCTCATAGGTACATAAGTGGTTTCATCCTTGATCCACCAAATGGCAGGAATATAGGCTATTCCCTGCCTTCACTTCACGCATTAGCTGCAGCTTCCAGTTTTTTTTTTTCATGTGCTCACCCTGGTCATGGTTGTCTAAACTGGGTACATATGTATATCACCCTTGATAATTTTTTGCACAGCTAATCAAAAATACGTTTTGAGATCTGGAGATACAGCACAGTGAGAATGTGTATTACACATCTGTGGACACATGATTTTGAGTTCCGATCCTTGGTGTCTCGTGTGCCTGATGCCATCCTGGCAGCTTTACTGTTTGAGCCTGGCAGCTTTGCTGTTTGTGATGTCTGGCGACATACAAATATTTTTTCCTTCGCCAGTTATTTTTCTTTGTCACCTTCATTTGTGGTTGGGAAAATAGAGGTTTTATTTTATTTAATTTATTTTTATTTATTTTTTAATGTAGGAGTACTGCTATTTATTCAGCTGCTGATTAGGCTGATAATTGGGCTTAATTGGGCATGAACTCCACCTTACTTTTATTTTTTTTTTCCATTTTTTATAATTTTATTTATTGAATCACCGTGAGAACAGTTACAAAGCTTTTGGGTTTAAGTCTTGGTCATACAATGAAACACCCGTACCTTCACCAATGCCCATTCTCCGCCACCAAAAACGCCCGTATACCCCCATCCCACACCCTCCCTCTGCCTCTGGGGCAGATGATTTCCACATTACTCTCTCTCTCTCTCTACTTTAATTACATTCAATATTTTGACACCAGACCCACCATTCTTATTTGGGATTTTACCCCAACACTCAGATAGGCTGAAAAGGCAACAGTAGACAGTTTGTTTTCTATTGCTGGTTATAAATAACATATGATATTGCGTGGCTGCAGTAGTGGCCGCGTGAATTTGAAATTCCGAAATTTTAACAATTAAATCTGGAGAGATTTCTGCCAAAACCTGCTGGATTCCGAGATTTGTTTCTGAGTCTCTGGGATCATGGCTGGCCGTTAAGCAGCTTGATCAGGAGCCAGAGAGGCCGTTCTCAGGCCTAGTGATTCTGGGGACCACGAGGGCTCCTCCCAGCAATGCTAGGGCCTGTTCGGTGAGCATTGAGAATCACATTTTTCTAGAGGGCATGGTTCTCTTTCTTTCCTAGTGGCTTTTAGCAATGCGATGGTATCAGTTACTTGAGTCTTATTACTTGGCAGGTAACATAAAGGTGTCAGTAATTCCTCTTGAGGTCAGGTTGGGGCTTTTTTTTGGAGGGGGGATACAGTTGGTGGTACTCAGGGCTTACTCCTGGTTCTGTACTCAGGGATCACTCCTGGCGTTTGGGGGACCTGTGGGATGCTTTGTATTGAACCCAGGTCTGTGTGTACAAGGCAAATGCTCTGGCCCCATGTTAGGTTTGATCTGTTACTTTTGTGTTTATTTTATTGTTTGTTGCAGAAATATGAAAGATATGTGTCAGTTGCTTAATTTTTTTCCAAAGACTTTTTCATTTAATTTGATTGGTGTTGGCTTCAGAGTGTCTGGATCCTGCTTTTGTGAGTGGACTCTGCTTGAATGGGGTGTGGACACTGGACGAAGGGGTTTATCTGCAGTAAAGGTCTGGGGTCCCGGAGTTACTGCTCTGCAGCTGAGCACTTGTCTTGCAGGTGTGAGGCCCTGGGCTTTGATCCCAGCTCTGCCAAAAATTGGAAAATTATACAAATCTGTGTGTGTATATATGTGCGTGTGTGTACACAAAGGTAAAAGGGAGGTGCTGTCAATCTCCTGATGACAGCTCATGGTAACTGATACCATGGCATTGTCAAAATGTTTCATCTCGTCTATATTTTCTCCAAATGCTTCTATACTTTTTAATTGAAAGTTTATGCATTATGCATTTTAAGTTTTTTTTTTTTGGGGGGGGGGAAGTGGTTTGCGGGGATTGATGTGAGCCCAGGGCCTCCTGCGTGTGGGGCTGGTGCTCTGCACTGAGCAGCGTCACTCCTAGTGATCTTTTTCAAGCTGAAGATGCTTGTCTTTACTCAGTGTAGGGAAAGTAAGGAGAAAGGAGAAAACAAGTAACTATATCTAGGCACATACTCACTGAGTTATAAATCCATCCTATCATATTTTGGGGGTCCTGTTTCATGTTATTAACTATCTTTCCTTTGGCATTTAAAAATCAGTGTCTAGGGGCTGGAGCGATAGCACAGCGGGTAGGGCGTTTGCCTTGCACGCGGCTGACCCGGGTTCAATCCCCAGCATCCCATATGGTCCCCTGAGCACCGCCAGGAGTAATTCCTGAGTGCAGAGCCAGGAGGAACCCCTGTACATCACCTGGTATGACCCAAAAAGCAATAAAAAAAAAAGTAATAATAATAATAGAAATCAGTGTCTAGACTGGGGATATTGGTAGAGGAAAGTGGACACTGGTGAAGGAATTGGTGCTGGAACATTTGTACACCTGAAACTCAATCATGAATAACTTTGTAACTCTAATTTATCATGATTCAGTAAAATAAAAAAATAAATATCCGTACTGAGGTACTGGAGAGATAATGTGACACCCAGGAGTGAATCCTGAGTGCAGAGCCCTGAGCCCAGCTGGGTATGGCCCAGAAGCAAAACAATTGGCCACACAAACAACAAACAAAAACCCCTTTCCGTCTAAAAAGAAATGACACAAGACAGTAAATGAGATCTATACTAAGGAAGAAATTGTCAAAAAAAAAAAATTCAGTGTCCCCTATCCTTCTTCCTGTTTGTTTCTACATATCATGCCTAAGAAACTTGATTAAGAAATTTGCTTTTGGCTTTAGCTGTTTAGAAGATATACAATGTTGCATTTCATTATTTCATTTTATTTTTTATTTTTGTTTTTGGGCCACACCCAGGCATGCCTAGGAAAGACTGCCTGCCTTACCCCAGTGTTCTACTTCCTACCTTAGTACCATCCTTTGGCCTTACTCCAATACTCTCCCTCCCACCTTACTCTAGTACTATCCTTCTAGCCCCCTTTGTTTTGTTTTTGGACCACACCTGATGTACTCAAGGCTTCCTCCTGGCTCTGCAATCAAGGGTCACGCTTGGTGGGCTCGGGGAACCGTATGGGGTTTCGAGGATCAAACCTTGGTCGCCCCTGTGCAAGGCGAGTACCCAGCCCACTGTGCGATCGCTCTGGCCCCTGTTGGCATTTTCTTTGATTCAGAGTTGGTGGTGGGAAGTGATCGGGAGCCATTCCTAGGGCAGCTAGGCTGCTGTGACAGGCCCGGGGTTCAGTGCTCCTGTGTAGCTGTGCCTGGTGGCCACCAGGGCTGCACCCAGCAGTGCTTGGAGGAAGGGACAGGGGGAGGGGGCATACAGTGCCAGAAATCTAACTCAGAGCTTCACACGCTAAGCATATGTTCTACTGCCAGAGCCTTCTTGGTCCAAAAGGTTTTCAATTTGAATGAACATCGTAGAGGGGTTTAGTACTTCAGTTCTTAGACATTTATTTACAAGTAAGTATAACTGTCAGGTGAATGAGACCAGTTGTAGAACGATCGGTTTGAGGCCCTTCATGTTCCCGGAGCGAACAGATGCCATTGGGCTACACTAGCACGCGACAGGGACAAATGGAGACGTTACTGGCGCCCGCTCGAGCAAATCGACGACTAACGGGAAGTTAAGTGATTAAGTGAAGTATAACTGTCAAGTATAAGTAAAATGACAAAACCTGTTGGTTGTGGTTCTGGGGAGCACAGGCAGCAGAACGGCCAGGGTTGAGCGTGACTAGTGGAACACCAGGGGTTTGAATTTGTGACCAGATGCTTACAAGGCAGCTTTCTAAGCCCCAGCGCTAAGTCTTTCAGGACCAGTTTTTATACTTTTAGAGAAGACAATAAAGAGTTGTGTTTCATTTTTTCCTTTGAAGGACGTGATATCTGGACTCAGCCCCCTGCTCTTCAGGAAACTCAGTAACCCTGACATATCTTCAGCCACTGGGAAAGCCAAGCTACAGCGTCAACTTAGCCAGGATGACTGTAAGTTACGGAGAGGAAGCATGGCCGGTTCTCTGTCAGGTGAGGATCTGATTTTCTTTTTCTCCTGGGTCACAGCCGGTGATGCTCAGGCCTTGCTTCTGACTCTGCACTCAGAGATCACTCCTGAGGGGCTCAGGGGACCACATGGGATGCCCAGGATTGAACCTGGGTTGGTTGTGTGCAAGGCAACAGCCCACTCTCTGTACTATTGCTCCAGCCCCTCTGGCTTTGTTTTTTAAAAAACAGGGGACTGTTGTCATTATTAAAGGTTGTATCAACTGACTTGATCTTTTTGCCTTTTTTTTTTTTAACTGTACCCAGTGGTGCTCAGGGGCTACTTTTGGCTCTATACACAGTGTCGGAGTTCTTCCTGGCACAGCTCTCTGACCATCTTGGCTGCTGGGCTCATATGGGGAAACTCCGAATCCCGACCTCGAGGAGGGAGAGCTGTCGCCAGGGGAGCCAGCATTCCCAGGTGATTAGCATGGCTCAGTGGCCTCCCTGCCTGTGGCTGACACCTGTCGAGTCTGTGAAGTTTATTGTTCCCCGTCTGCATTGGCTGATAGAAATCCCGTGACACCTCCTGACACTCTGTCCCATCTAGCCCATGTAAACCATGGATTTCACCTTCCTCTTCCCATCTCACGATCCCTTTTTGCCTATATATAATCATTGTACTGTTCTAATAAGCCTTTGTCACGTGACTACGAGTCTGGCCTGTGTGGTGACTTTGTCGTGGTCACACTGTGTGCATGTGCGAGTCTTTGAGCATCTGTTACCTTAGACCAATGGATCATCTCATTCCCGGGGTCTCCAGGGTTATGAGATGACTATAGCACGGGATTGTGCCCAGTGGTACTCAGTGGACCAGATGATGCCAGGGATTAAACCCAGGCCTTGCGTCCCCCACGCTAAACCTGTGCTCCAGCCTTTGAGCTGTCTCCTTATCCCGGACTTAACATCTTGACATCTCTTGTGGTTGTCTTGAGGGTACACTTCTTAGGGTATCCTCTCTCTCTTTTACAGCACCACTTTCTCCCCTCCCAGGCTCTGCACCGGAATCACTCCTGCCGGTGTTCAGGGGACCATGTGGAATACTAGGGATTGAATCTGGCCCAGCTGCTTGCAAGGCAAATTCCCTTTGTGCTGTACTATCGCTCCAGCCCTTTATTGTATTTTCATTTTAATGGAGTTTCCTGGGGTATAAAAGATGAGGATGTGTTTAGCCATCTTTAACTGAGAATGTTTTATGTGATAGCTCTTTTTTGGGGGGGTTCACATCTTGCAGTGCTCAGGGATTACTCCTCTCTCTCTGCTCAGGACTACTCCTGGCAGTGCTCAGGGGACTGCATGTGTAGTGTCCAGGATCGATTCTGCTAGGAATTGGCAGTTTGAAAGGCAAAGTGCTCTACCTACTATTCGGTCTCTCTGGCCCCAGAATAACTTTAAATTATTGTCAGAATAAATAAGTTTTATTTTACATTTTTGTTAGTTTTTGCAGTTGGTAGAGGTCACTACAGGTGATGCTCTGGGGCTGTGTGGTACTAAAGCCCAGGACACCACATGTGCTCTACACTTGAGTGAATCTCTAGCCCCTTAAAAAAACTTTTCCAGTGATTTAAAGCCAAGTCACTCTGTACACTCATAATATTCCTTCTCTTCCATGTCGTTGATTTTCCTCAAATTCTTGGCAGTTCTTAATATCCTTCAAGTCCCGGCTGAGTGAATGACCGAAGAGGTTTCTTCTGTAGTTGTGTAAACCTCTTTCCCCGGCAGGTCCTTAGTTTACTTTTTATTGTTTTTGGTCCCACTTGATTGTACTTGGGGTTTACGCCTGGCTCGTCTACCCAGGGATCGCTCCTCGCAGGGCTTGGAGACCAAACGTAGTGCTAGGGGCTGAACCTCGTTGGCTGCGTGCAAGACAAGCGTCTTACCTGCTGTACTGCTTTGGCCCCAAGGTCCTTTTTTTATGTTTCAATTTTATTTTCATAAAGTTGCTCACAATATTGATTACATTCAATATTTCAACACCAATCCCACCACCATTACACCTTCCCATCACGATTATTTCTAATTTTTCCACCACCACTCAAATCTGCCCAAGAGGCAGATGCTAGGTAATGTATTTTTTAATGCTTGTTATGAATAGCATGAGAGACCGCAGATGCATTCCTGAAATTCTGAAATTTTAAATACTTGGGGCTGGTGGCATCTCTGCAGCAAGCTGCTTGGTTCCGAGATTCATTTGTGAGTCACCCAAGGTTCTTATTTTTAACTGATTTTTGCTTTTGGGTTAGACCCTGCATTGCCCAGGGCTCACTCCTGACTGTGCTAAGGGATCACTCCTGGTGGGGTTGGGGGACCTTATGAGCTGCCAGGGAATCGAACCTGGGTCAGCTTGATTCAAGGTAAGTCCTCTACCCACTGTATTGTCACTCTGGCTTCCATCAGTGTTCTTATTTTGAAGAATGAGAACATAATTGCTTTTAAATATCTGGGTAGCGTAAGCTCATAAAATAGCTTTAGAATATACAGATGATGTGTAAATGGATATATACAGATAAACATATATATATAGATAAATTTATATGTAGAATATATTTATATGTAGAATATCTAGGCCTACAATTTGAAGATTGAGAAATAAGTAGATTATTGGAGAACCCCATGGCATTTTTAGAAGGAAAAAAAAACAGGCAAATTCTGCTCTAGGCTTAAGGAAGTTTTGAGGGGAAATAGTTCGTTGAAAATGTTCTCGAAAGGCTTCTCAGTAAAATATAGATTTAAGAGGAAATTTGAAAGATAAAAATATTGTGAGTTTCTGGTTTAAAAGTAAAACATAACATTTTGAGCATAAATACACACGGCAAAATGAATGATCCACTGAAAAAACAAGCTGTACCAGCTAGTGACTCAAGGGTTTCGCCTTAATGTTGAGCTGCATTCCTGGTTCTCTAAATAGTGAGGGGGAGGAGGCTTCCCAAGGGGTGCTCAAACGGTCCCCGGGGCACTCTGGGAAGATCTCGAGTAGCTGGGTTGGTGGTTCAAGGGGGTTCAAAGCTAAGGCCTGAGGGTCAGTCCTGCCCAGGCCAACTGCCAACCGCCAAGGCCTTCCCAGTGGTGCTCAGGCACCTCCAGTTCGCCCCTGGGATCCTTGGGACACCATGTGGTGTTGGGGGTTCAGCCTGGGTCAGGCTCATGCAGTGCATGTCCCCGAATGCCTGTACTATCTCTTGGACCCCTGCGAGGCCCTTCTCAATCATCATTTTCTTTGATATCTCCCGCCAAGTATATTTACTTCATGTATACAAATACTATACCTCATATATATTCATATATAGATAAATGTGCATTAAAATATATATCAATGTACATAAAGTTTTAAATTGAAAACAGAATTGGGGGGCGTGCAGCTTATTGGTAGATCATGTGCCTTGCATGTGTGAGACCTTGAGTTCAGTTTCTGGCAGCTCAGGAAAAAAGTGATGGTGCAGCAGTAAGGCATTTGCTTTGCGCAGGGCTGACCCAGGTTAGATCCCTGGTATCTGATGTGGCCCCCCAACCCCGCCAGGAGTGATCCCGAGTGTAGAGCCAGAAGCCAAAGCCAAAACCAAACAAAATAAAATCAGAATTCGGATTGTATGCTCAGTAGTTCGTCTTGGCTTTATTCAACAGGCATTGCTGAACATAATTTTTTCTTGATCACATATTGATTTGCTTAATTAACTGATCAGTTATTTCTTTTGAGGTTTCACCTGATGGTACTTGGTTGCTCAGTACTCAGTGGTTGCTGCTGAGGTGGCTGGGGAACCGTGCAGTGCTGGGGATCAAACCTGGGTCTCCTGTATGAGAAGCATGTCCCCGGCCCAGTAAGCTATCTTCCGAGCCTGAGATGCTTAATTTTTTTTTTCTGCTTTTTTGGGTCACACCCGGCGATGTACAGGGGTTCCTCCTGGCTCTGCACTTAGGAGTTACTCCTGGCGGTGCTCAGGGGACCATATGGGATGCTGGGAATAGAACCCGGGTCAGCCGCGTGCAAGGCAAACGCCCTACCCGCTGAGCTATCGCTCCAGCCCCAAGAGATGCTTAATTATTTCTAATAGTTTGGTAATCTGTTATATAGAGATAATGCAACTTGTAATAAATATTTATTTTTAATTTATTGCTAAGGTGAACATTGTAGTCTTTTTTTTTCCTCTTTAGACTACTTTTTATTTTTTTTTTTTTAGAATCACAGTGAGATGCTGTTACAAAGTTGTTCATCATTGGGTTTCAGTAATAGAATGTTCTAACACCCCTCCCCCCACCAGTGTCCCCAGTTTCTCTCAAGCCAGGCACCCCTCGAACTCCTGTCCCCAGCCTACCTCTATGGTAGGAACTCACTCTCTCTTTCTCTGTCTTTCTCTCTCTCTCTCTCTCTCTCTTTCTGTCTCTCTCACTCGCTCTCTCTTTCTTTCTACATTACGGTTTGCATTACAGGTACTGAAAGTTTATCATGTCTATCCCTTTCCCTTTTTTCAGCACTCAGTTCTCATTAAGAGTGATCATTTCCAACTGTCATTGTCATAGTGGTCCCTTCTCTATTCTAACTTCCCCCCTCCCTCCCCCTGCCCCCCTTTAGACCAACCCTCCTGGCCCTTGTTTCTACTGTTCTTGGATATTATAGATTACTATTAAATCTTCCTGTTTTAATACAGAGTCCAAATACATTCAGATTCTTCAAATAACTTGCATCACGTTTTCAATAAAAGGGTTTGTTTTTTCACAACATTTTTTAATTAAAAAGATTTTTTTTTTGCCATAACCAATGCTGCTCAGGACTTATACTCTTGCCTCTGTGCTCAAGGATCATTCTTGATGGGCTCAGGAGACTATATGGGGTGCCAGGATTGAATGTGTGAACTGTGTGCAAGGCAAGCCTTTTATTTTACGATCTTTCTGGGCCTTATCAGTGGTTGCTCTTTAATTTGGGCCATGCTTAGGAATTACCCCTGGCATTACTTGGGGGACCATATGGGATGCTAAAGATTGAACCCCAGTCGGCCATGTGCAAGGCCAATGCCCTACCCTCTGTACTATCTCTTCAGTCCCCCTAATCAGTGTTTTTTAAGGAAGGGAATGGAATAATATGTCACATTTGTTGTGGTTAGATCATTAGCAATTGTTTGAAGGAAGGTGTTGAAATTATGGAACTTGAAAGTCATTTCAGGGTTGGAAAGAGTACAAGGACTGGACACTTCCCTTGTACATGGTTGACCCCTGGCTCGATCTTTGACACTGTGCGTGGTCTTCTGATGACTCTGTAAGGTGTGATCTCTGAGAAGTTTGCTGGATGTGCTCCCAAAACAAAACAACAAAATTATGGCAGGTCTGGGGACATGTATAGCTCAAAGGATTGGAACGCTTTGCATGCTGGAGCGCTAGGTCCAGTGTCGGGCGCTGGATGTTCTGTCCCCTAAGCACCTCTGGGAGTGATACCTGAGTCCAGAGCTGGTAGTGGCCCCTGAGCACTAGAAGTTGTTGGACCAAAAGTCAGGATTAAAAAATCCTGTAATTTCGGGCTGGAGTGATAGTGCCTTGCATGAGGCTGACCCTCGTTTGATCCTGGGCATTCCATATGGTCCCCCATGTCTGCCAGGGGTGATGCCTGAGAGCCAGGAGTAACCCCTGAGCGTCACAGGGTGTGACCCCAAAAGAAAACAAAAGAAAAAAAACTCAACCCCTGCCCCCCCCCCAAAAAAAAAAACCAACCTGGTGGGGAGGAACCCTGCAATTTAGTTTTTAAAATACATTGCAGTAATAGGGGCTAGGTAGATAGCTCAAAAGGCTGGAACACATGCTTCATTTGTGAAAGGCCCTAAGTTTGATCCCTAGGGACTCTGACATGAGCATTTGTATGCTGGGAGCTCAGGTGTGATTCCTGGCACCAGATGTTTCACGGAGCATCTCTGGGAGTGATTCCCTAGAACAGAGCTGGTGTTAGCCCCTGAGTTCTTTGTGGAAAACATACTTAGATGTGACTCCCCCAAGTTAGATCCCCAGCATGCTCAGGACTAGCCCTGGTTGGCCCTGGCTGCAGCTGGGAAGTCCTTCCTTTGTCCCAGAAGTCACTGCAGTCCTAGGCACTTGGTCTTTATAAGTAGCTTGCTCTCTTTGGTCTGTGTTTTGGAACCACAGTTGGCGATCCTCAGGGACTACTTCTGGCTTATTGTTCGGGGGTCGTTCCTGGCAGTGCTCAGGGCACTAGGAGGTGCTAGGAATTGAACCGTGACCTTCCCCTTCATGTTATCTTTCTGGCCCGGTAAGTAGCTTCCTTGCAGCATTTCAATGGGGTTGGTTGTCAGTGAACTTGAATGAAGTCATGCATGGATTCTGCTATGAGTAGAAATGTGGAAAAAACAAGGGTCAGATTCATCTGGTACTGCATTGAGTTGGTGAGAAGCAGAATAGGATGGAGGGAGAAGCAACTCTGGCGTGGTTTCTGGATTGGGTGTCAAGGTAAAGGACTGGCACGTGGGAGATGTTCCTGAGAGCGAAAGTAGTTCAGTATTCCACCTGTAATTTCCCTCAATACCAAGAAAGTTGAAACTTTTAAAGCACGACAGTCTAAACTGGGTAGGAAAGAACATCACTTTTGTGAACGTTTATGTCCGCTTCATCATTTTTCGGTTGGGGTTTGTCTCCCAAGCGAAGCTCAGTGTCCATCCTGGTGGTTCCCTGCTCTCTAGGCAGTGGCTCAAAGTGTGGGCCTGAGGGTACAGAGCTGCTTGGGCCAGGTGGTGGTGCTTGGGGGTCTTCAGGGCCACCCCGTGGTGAATGGGAGGCTCCAGTCTTGCACTTGGCGATACTCCGGGGACTATGTGGTGCCAGGGGTTTGACTCTGGTAGGCTGCATCCAAGGCATGTGCCTTTAAACCCTGCACTATCTCCCTGGTGGCTGCAGTTCCTTTTTCTCAATAGCGGCCACTCCAGGGGTATTAGGCTTGGCTGTGCTCAAGGGCCGGCAGGACAGAGGCTGCAGTACATGGGACAGGTGGTACTGAGAATTGAGCCCAGGACCGTGCACATGCGAGCATGGGCTCTGGTCCCTGAATTCGGATTCTTTTATGCGCTGTGTTTTCATTTTGGTTTATTTATAAGTCGTAATAAGCGTATTTTCCAACCCTTGTGTTTGTTTGAAGGTAAGCAGCTGCTCCCCTTGTCCAGTAGTGTACAAGGCAGTGTGGGCCAGGTGACTTGGCAGTCTTCAGGAGAAGCCTCAAACCTGGTTCGAATGAGGAACCAGTCCCTCGGACAGTCTGCCCCTTCTCTCACCGCTGGCCTGGTAAGTGTTGCGGGAGACGGTGCCTTGCTTTGTGAATAAATCCTTGGTTGTCATTTGCCATTGCCACGTGATATTTTCCTCCTCAGGATTTGGAGAGTTTAATTTCTCACAGTGTATAAAAAAGAAGGGACATTACTAAGAAGGGACTTTAGTTGAAGATATTCTGTTGCTTATATCAAGAAAAATATTCAATATTATTATTATACCTTTAATGACTTTCTTGGGAAAGCTTTACTATGGAAATGATTGAGTTTTTTTTTTTATTATTTTTACTGAGACTTTATTAAAGTCTCAAAACCTGAGGCTTTATTTAAAAAAAAAAAAGGATTCTCAAATGAAATCATTTAGGCAACACTGAACCCAAGAGGGTAAGACCACTACTTTCTATATGGTCTCTTTGCTATATTTTTTTAGCTACTAAGTAATATAAAACCTATTATTGTTATTAAACTGGGGACATTGGTTCTGGGTAATGTATACTGGTGGAGGGATGGTGTTGGAACACTGTATGACTGAAACCCAATCTCGAACAGCTTTGTAATGGCCTGTCTCACAGTGATAGGTTATTCAGGAGAGAGAGAAAGAGAGGGAGGGAAGGAGAAGAGAGAAACAAGGGAAGAGAGAAAGAGAGGAGAGAGAGACCCAGTATGTCCCAGAGGAATGCAGGAAGGAGACTGCATATGGCCACAGACTCATTGGCTCTGAGATTTTAAAAGTAGTGTTGCTTTTGTGTCCATAGCCCAGTGGGAGACATAATAAGTATATGAGGACAGGAAACATGTTTGCCACAGTGGAGGTACTTATTGGATGAAAAAATAATGTTATTTCTTTTTTGTATGTACGGGGGTATGTTTGGGGGGGTGTGGTTAGGTCACACTTCTCAGTGACTCCTGGCTCTCTGCACAGGGCTCACTCCTGGTGGTGCGAAGGGTCTGTGGGCATGCAGTACAAACACTTTAACCCCATGTATATTCTCGGGCCCAAGAATAAGTTGCTTCTTTGTTTGGGTTTTGGATGATAAATAGGGCCTATACAAGATTAAATTGTGTAGTCTGGGCAGGTGTTTTCTCATCTGCCTGCGATGGCATTTTGTGCCTTGTAGCCCTCAGTGGTTCTGCTTCTTTGCGTGAGGTACCCACTGGCTCTACTGATCTCATCCTCCCCTTTATCCACAGGCGAGCATGTTCTACTGCCCTTTGAACTCTTTTCTGGCTTCTAAGTTTTTTTTTTTTTAAAGAGGGGCCAGAGCGATAGTACAGCGGGTAGGGATTTTGCCTTTCAGGCAGTTGACCCAGGTTTGATCGCTGGCATCCTGTATGATCCCCCGAGTTTACCAGGAGAGATCCCTGAGCACAGAGCCAGGAGTAACCCCTTAGCACTGCTGAGTGTGGCCCCAAGAACATAAAAACAAAACCAGGGTATGTTGCAGAGGGCATTTGTTAGTGAAGTTGTTCAAGTTCTAGCCTAGACCAACTGACAAAATATTCCTGAATTATTTTTTAAAAAAACTCTTTGCAGTATATACCTTACATAATTTACTCCTTTAAACCAAGCATGACTTACACATTTAAACCAGGCAATTCAATGATACTTGATATGTTCATAGTATGTGCAGCTTTTGTTTGTTTTTGTGCCAGTCCCAGTGATGTTCAGGGCTTACTCCTGGCTTTGTGCTCAAGGTCTCTCCTGGCAGGCTTGGGGGACTCTATGGAGTGTCAGGGATTGAACCTGGGTTGGGCACATGCAAGGTTAAGTGTCCTACTCTCAGTACTATTGCTCTGGCCCTGTAGCCTTATTTATTTATTTATTTATCTATTTATTTAACATGGTTTTTGAGCCACACTTGGCAATGCTCAGGGGTTACTTCTGACTCTGCGCTCAGGAATCACTCCTGGCAATGGGGACCATATTGGGTGCCAGGGATCAAACCCTGGTCATCTGCATGCAAGACAACTGCCTTACCTGCTGTAGTATTTCTCCGGCCCCTCTTTTTAAAAATATTTTAAGAATTTATTTTGTTTTCTGTTTTTTGTTTTTGGGTCACATCTGGCGATGTGCAGAGATGACTCTTGGCTCTGAACTCAGGAATCACTCCTGGCAGCACTTGTGGGACCATATGGGATGCTGGGGATTGATTCCAGGTTGGCCACGTGCAAGCAAATACCCTACTTGCAGTAGGGGCTATTGCTCTGATCCCCACCCCCTTTTTTTTTGTTTTTGAGGCAACATCCAGCAATGCTCAGGAGTTGCTCTGCATACAGGAATTACTTTTGGTGGTAATCTGGGGAACATATGGGATGTCAGGGATTGAACCAAGGTTGACCACATGCAAGGCAAATGCCTTACTGACTGTGCTGTTGCTCGGGCCGGCCCCCACCCCCTTTTTTTGCCACTTGTTTATAATGGCAACAGTAGGAGGTTGATTTAATCTGTCAAAAACAGAATGAGAGAAGGTACTTTAAAATTGTAAGGTCTTGTCTTATGTATGGCTGACCCAAGTTTGAGCCCCAGCATTGCTGTTTAAATTGTATGGAATCAGAAAGCCCCCTGAAAAGCCAAGGCATTTCTGAGGGGAAAAAAAAAAGATAGGAGGCATTGCTTCCCCTAACTTGAGTCTATTTTGCAAAGCTATGCTAATCAAAATAGTGTGGCACTGGACTTTTAGACCAGTGGAGAATTGTTAGCCCAGAAGTAAAACCTTAGATATATATGAAGTGTGTTAATCAATGACAAAGGGGCAAAGTGCGTTGTTGTAGATGAAGAAAATCTCTTTCACAGATTGTGTTGTGAAAACTGCAAACAAGTGGAATTGGACCCCTGTCTCACACGATTCACACAAGTGAATTCAGAGTGTTTTAAAGATTATTTTACTAGATCAGAACTTAAAATATGTCACAAAAAAAAAAAAACCCATAAATGGAACTCTTCAGGAATTTGACCTCAGAGGTGTCTTAAGTGATTCAGCTCAATTGGCAAAGCATGCCAATGCACAAATAGACAAATGGGACTTAAGTGTTTTTGCAGTGTGAAAGAATTGATGGCTGAAATACAAAATAAAGAGACTCCTGACTGAATGGTAAAAAATATTTGCACACCATGTCTCTGTTAAGGAGAAGCTCAACAGTAAAAATGCAAATAGCCTTATCAAAAAATGGGGAGAGGAGATGATTAGATATTTCCTCGGAGAGTACGTATTATAAGGGGGAACATACGTCAGCAAATGAAGGAAGATCCATCATCAGTTGGTAGCAGGGAAATGCAAGAATGACAGTGAGCTATCACCTCCAGTTAGTAAGATGTCTCCTATCCAAAGGAAATTCCACAAACAACCAGTGTTGACGGGATGCAGTGAAAAAGGAAACCCTCAGTTACTTTCGGTGAAAATGCAACCTCTGTGAAACGAGAACTCTTACAAAAAATCAAAATCAGGGGACCGGAGGGATAGTATCGTGCTTGTCTCACGTGCGACTGACCCAGGTTTGTCCTCTGGCATCCCAGATGGTCCCCCGTGCACCTCCAGGAGTTATTCCTGAGTGTGGAGCCAGGAGTAATCCCTGGGCATTGCCAGGTGTGGTCCAAAAGCAATCAATCAATAAATAAATAAATGTAAAATCAGGTCTTCTGCATGACCCAGCATTTTCACTAAGTGGTATCTACCTCAAGGACACAAAACAAAACCACGAACTCAAAGAGAAACAGGCACACCTATCTTCATTGCAGTGCTAAGTACAATGGCCAAGATAGGGACGTAGCACAAACAGCCATCGACAGATGAATGGATAAAGAAATGGCAGTTGGGCCTGACTATAGCAGGTAGCCTTGCATGCAGCCAATTCGGGTTCGATCGTGGCACATCATCATACGGTCCTCAAGCACTATCAGGAGGGATCTCCGAGCTCAGAGCCAGGAGAAAGTCCCGAGACTGCTGGATATAGCCCAAAAGCAAGAACAAGGTGAAATCTTGCCTTTTACTCTAATGTGGATGTGAAGTCATGAGGCCAGCAGAATCTGAATGGTCTCAGGTACAGTGTTACAGTGCAGTTGAGATGGCATGGGATGTCAGCAAATCACTGGACTTTGACTGCAGAACTGAGGTTACCAAGTGGTGGGGGAAGCGGTAAACCAGAAGTGATAGAACTGGGCCGGAGCGATAGTACAGCACGTAGGGTGGTTGCCTTGCATGCGGCCGACCTGGGTTCAATCCCCAGCATCCCAGATGGTTTCCCACGCAGTGCCAGGAGTAATTCCTGAATGCAGGGCAAGGAGTAACCCCTGAGCATCACTGGGTGTGACTCAGAAAGAAAAAAAAAAAAGAATTGACAGGACTGTGGTAGAGGGTCTTTGGTACTTCAGTGCAGGTGGAGGTGCGCTAACTCTGTGCACGGGTGCTTGGAAGGTGCTTTCCTTGATGTGGCCGACCCCAGTTTGAACCCTGACAATGCATGGTCCTGTGAGCACTTCCAGGAGTAACCTCTAGTGCTGCTGGGTGTGGCTACACATAACCCCCACTCCCCAAAAAAATTTCTGAAAAAACTTTGTGCAACAAAAGCATACACATTAATTCTGTAGTAACCATGTTACCTCAACTGCAAATTTTTTTTTTTAATGAGAAAAAAGAAACAGATAAAGATGCTCATTGGATAATGGCAACGCAGACCCAAACCACAATGAGATGCCACTTTGCATCCACCAATATAGCCCAATAAAAATATTATTAAATTAAAATATAGCTGGTGTTTCAAGCCCGTGTTCTCTCTTGATCATGTACCTTGCTTGTCTATGTGTTCCTTTGCCTACTTTTTTTTTTTCCTTTTTGGGTCACACCCAGCGATGCTCAGAGGTTATTCCTACTTCTGTGCTCAGGAATTACTCCTGATGGTGTTTGGGGGACCATATGGGATGCTGGGGATTAAACCCAGGTGGGCTGCGTGCCAGGCAAACGCCCTACCTGCTGTACTATTGCTCTGGCCCCGTGCCTCCTTATTTTCACTTTGGAGAAA